TAGAGTGCAATGGCGCGATCTCGGCTCACCGCAACCTCCGCCTCCTGGGTTCAGGCAATTCTCCTGCCTCAGCCTCCTGAGTAGCTGGGATTACAGGCACGCGCCACCATGCCCAGCTGATTTTTTGTATTTTTGGTAGAGACGGGGTTTCACCATGTTGACCAGGATGGTCTCGATCTCTCGACCTCGTGATCTACCCGCCTCGGCCTCCCAAAGTGCTGGGATTACAGGCGTGGGCCATCGCACCCGGCAAGAGAGCTGTTTCTGGACAGGATTCTGTAAAGCCTGGTGCCCATCTAACAGTGAAGACAATTTTTGTTGGTGGTATTAAAGAAGATACGGAAGAGCATAATTTGAGAGACTACTTTGAAAAGTATGGCAAGATTGAAACCATAGAAGTTATGGAAGACAGGCAGAGTGGAAAAAAGAGGGGATTTGCTTTTGTAACTTTCGATGATCATGATACAGTTGATAAAATTGTTGTTCAGAAATACCACACTATTAACGGGCATAATTGTGAAGTGAAAAAGGCCCTTTCTAAACAAGAGATGCAGTCTGCTGGATCCCAGAGAGGTCGTGGAGGTGGATCTGGCAATTTTATGGGTCGTGGAGGAAACTTTGGAGGTGGTGGAGGTAATTTTGGCCATGGTGGAAACTTTGGTGGAAGAGGAGGTTATGGTGGTGGAGGTGGTGGCAGCAGAGGTAGTTATGGAGGAGGTGATGGTGGATATAATGGATTTGGTGATGGTGGTAACTATGGCGGTGGTCCTGGTTATAGTAGTAGAGGGGGCCATGGTGGTGGCGGACCAGGATATGGAAACCAAGGTGGTGGATATGGTGGCGGTGGTGGAGGATATGATGGTTACAATGAGGGAGGAAATTTTGGCGGTGGTAACTATGGTGGTGGTGGGAACTATAATGGTTTTGGAAATTATAGTGGACAACAGCAATCAAATTATGGACCCATGAAAGGGGACAGTTTTGGTGGAAGAAGCTCGGGCAGCCCCTATGGTGGTGGTTATGGATCTGGTGGTGGAAGTGGTGGATATGGTAGCAGAAGGTTCTAAAAGCAGCAGAAAAGGGCTACAGTTCTTAGCAGGAGAGAGGGCGAGGAGTCGTCAGGAAAGCTGCAGGTGACTTTGAGACAGTCGTCCCAAATGCATTAGAGGAACTGTAAAAATCTGCCACAGAAGGAGCGATGATCCATAGTCAGAAAAGTTACTGCAGCTTAAACAGGAAACCCTTCTTGTTCAGGACTGTCATAGCCACGGTTTGCAAAAAGTGCAGCTATTGATTAATACAATATAGTGTCAATTAGATGTACATTCCTGAGGTCTTTTATCTGTTGTAGCTTTTTCTTTTTTCTTTTTCTCTTCATTACATCAGGTATATTGCCCTGTAAATTGTGGTAGTGGTACCAGGAATAAAAAATTAAGGAATTTTTAACTTAAAAAAAAAAAAAAAGGATAGAGACACGTGGAATTCTTTGCTCAGCAGACAGCCACCCTCTCTTTGGGAATCATAATTCCAGATTTCTTTTGAGAAATCTCCCTCTCAGCCTAGTGGTTTGGTTTGAGTGGGACATAAGCCCATCATCCAGCCACCTCCTGGCCATGGATTCTAATTAAGGATCAGCACAATGTCAAAATTGTCAACAATTTAAAATACCTTTGTATTATAATTGTAAACATGACTAGTACAAATGCATGACTAATAAGAACTTGTAAATTGTTGACTTGTCTTTTTTTAAATTCTAGTTAAGGATTGGCACATCAAGTGCCCTGCCATGCAGGTAGGTGCACCTAAGCATGAAGCCTACCGTGCAAGGCAGGGCAGAGAGGGGGATCCTAAGTCCTTGGTGACATCGTTTGAGCCACTGTATCAAGCCTCACTTGAAGCCAGTCTCACCCCTGGACTTTTCTGGTTTTCTTTATGGTGAAGTCATTTTGAGTTTGCCCTTCTATCACTTGCAAGATAAAGAGTCCTAGCTGATATTTGTTTGAAAGGAGGACTTTGTTTTTCTTTTTTCTTTTCTTTTTTTTTTTTTTTTTTTTTTTTTTTTTTTTTTTTTTTTTTTTTTTTTTTTTTTTTTTTTTTTTTTTTTTTTTTTTTGAGATGGAGTCTTGTTCTGTTGCCAGGCTGGAGTGCAGTGGTGTGATCTTGGCTCACTGCAACCTCTGCCTCCTGGGTTCAAGCGATTCTCCTGCCTCAGCCTCCCAAGCAGCTGGACTACAGGCATGTGCCACCATGCCTGGCTAATTTTTTGTATTTTTAGTAGAGATGGGGTTTCAGCATGTTGGCCAGGATGGTTTCGATCTCCTAACCTCATGGCCCACCTCAGCCTCCCAAAGTGCTGGGATTACAGGCGTGAACCACCTCGCCTGGCTGAATGGCGGACATTCTTAGCAAGATTGCCAAACTCAGAAATCAAAATGAAAAACAGGTGGATGGATTTGACTACATATAAGCATAAAACTTTTGTGTGGTCAGAGAAAATACCATAAATCATGTTAAAAGATAGATAACGAATTGAGAAAAACGGCAACACATTGTAAAAAGTTAAGAAGTGATGAGGAGAGTACGTGATGCACACTACTTGCCAGGCACTGTGCATAGTTTACATATATTAACTCTTTAGTCACCACAATGACTGTATGAAGTAGGTACTATCATTATTCCCACTTTACAGATGGAGAAACTGAGACACAGAGAGGAACTTGCACAAGGCCATGTACCTACAGAGAGAGTGGAGTGGAATTTGAACTCCAGCAGTATGACTTGGGAGGCCAAGTGGAGCCATTTCTATTTCTGTTAAACTAGTTTATCAGGAGTTCTTTTTGCGAAATAATAAGAAAAAGACACACAGCCCAAATATGGGCAGAGAAAATATGCAACATGAGAAGAAACATAAATGGTTAACAAACATAAAAAAAAGCTGTAAGATTAATGATCAGAGAAATGAATAATAAAACAATGTGAACAGTTTTTATCAGCCTGACACGTGCGAGCAAAAGTGAGAAAGCAGGTTTAGAGGAGGTGTAGGGAAATAGCCATCTGTTAAACCATGTCTAGTCTGGCCCAGCAAACTTTAGGAATTTATGTTAAGAAGATTAATCAGGCATCCAAATATGTGTACATAGGGCCTCCCTTCCTCCTTCCCTCCCTCTCTTCTTCCTTCCTGTCTCCCTTCTTTCCTTCCTTCCAGTTGTTGAGTGCCTGTTACGTGCCAGGCACTATTCTAGGCATTGGATATGTGATAGTGAACAACACAGACATCTATGTCCTCATGTAACTTAAGTTCTGTGCAGAGAAAAGGCAAGAAACAAGATAAATACATAAATGTATAATAGGTAGAGTAAGTACAAAGAGGAAAATTAAAAGGCATAAAAGGGGATGTGTGTGACAGGTTGTGGGAGAGGTAGGCATTGAATTTTATACAGAGACCAGGAAATGCCTCACTAGAAAGATGACTTCTGGTAAAGATGTGAGGTGTCTGGGAGGCACTGCGTAGTGCAGGTGACTGAGACCACACTGGAGCACTGCTTGAAATTGGGAAATATTAGAAGTGGCCAGGTCACAAAGGACCTTGGCCACAATAAGAAGTTTGGACTTTTATCAAATCGTGACGAAGGGCCTGTGGGGAGTTGTAAGCAGAGTATGGCCATGGTGGGTCTGCAGTTTCGAAGGATCACCTGGCAGCTGCGTGGGAAGAGACCGGAGATGGGCCAGGGTAGTCGGGGAGAACAGTGAGAAGACACTGCACAATTCAGGTGCAAAACACTGATCGTGATCAGAAGCAGAGAGCTGGGGACAGATTTGGGTACCACTGATGGTGTTTGTTTTTTGAGACAGAGTCTCGCTCTGTTGTCCAGGCTGGAGTGCCGTAGCAAGATCATAGCTCACTGCAGCATCAGTCCCCCAGGCTCAACTAATCCTCCAGGCTGAAGTGATCCTCCCACCTGAGCCTCCCTAGTAGTTGAGGCTACAGGCATGCCACCATGCCCAGCTAATTTTAATTTTAATTTTTAGTAGATTCAAGGTCTTCTTATGTTGCCTGGGCTGGTCTTGAACACCTAAGCTCAAATGATTCCCCAGCCTTAGCCTCCCAAAGTGCTGGGATTACAGGTATGAACCACCATGCCCAGCCTAAGAGTGTTATTTTTGGAAGCAGAATCATTTACTAGACACAGTGATTTGAGGAATGAGGTGGGGTGGAAAAAAGCTGACCACCTTGGTAGTCTGGATGGGTAAATGGAAGAAAATCAAATCAAATCATGAGGTCAGAGTGTAGCAAAATGTTACACATTTACAGGAATTTGTATGATGAATACACCTGACAATGGCTAGTTTTTGTTATTAATACTAAGCGAGCTGGGCACGGTGGCTCACGCCTATAATTCCAGCACCTTGGGAGGCAGAAGCGGGCGGGTCACTTGAGATCAGGAGTTTGAGACCAGCCTGGCTGGTCAACATGGTGAAACTCTGTTTTTATCAAAAACAGAAAAATTAGCTGGGCTTGATGGTGCACACCTGTAGTCCCAGCTACTTGGGAGGCTGAGACAAGAGAATCACCTGAACCCGGGAGGCAGAGGTTGAAGTGAGCTGAGATTGCGCCACTGCACTCCAGTCTGGGCAAAGAGCCAGACCCTCTCGCAAACAAAAAGAAAAAGAAAAAAAAAAATTAGTAAGCCAAAGACCATGGATATCCTTTTTTAAATGGTACAAATGAGAAAAAGCGAACACAAATTTGTTTGGGGTATTTCTATGACATTTCCCTAGAGCAGGATCCGAAGTGAAACTGGCCGAAATGGCTTTGCCAGGCACCACAGCCCCGCCCCACACACACAGACACACACACAGTCCCGCTCACCCACTCCTCCCAGCGAGCTATCTTCTCTGCAGTCTCCACGGCCTCCTTGTGCTCTCGTTCTGCTTCCTCAGCAGCCTCCCTGGCCAGGCGCTCCTCTGCAGCCTTCCACTCCTTTTCTGCCTTTTCTTCGTCTGTTAAACCATAATTTTGAGGCTCCCCAATCTCTTTGATGAGCTGTTTGATAGCAAGTCTATTCTGAGCGTCCTCAAGTTTTCCTACATCTTTAAATACCAGAAGAGAGATCAACACATACTTATATTCTAGGCCTGCCTGCAATTGGGAAAATTCTTTATTACTATAAACTTGTGATAGTCAATTATGTAAATTACTACATGGGGTTTTCTTTTCTAATTGCTGGCATAGTTCAGAATTTCTTCTCTCATAGGCAAATATCAGACCAGAGTCTGAGGGCCATGAGTAGGAAAATTTGGACTTGGGTCTGTGGGTTCTAACAATGACTTGAGGCCGGGCGCGGTGGCTCAAGCCTGTAATCCCAGCACTTTGGGAGGCCGAGGCGGGTGGATCACGAGGTCAAGAGATCGAGACCATCCTGGTCAACAGATCGAGACCATCCTGGTCAACATGGTGAAACCCCGTCTCTACTAAAAATACAAAAAATTAGCTGGGTATGGTGGTGCGTGCCTGTAATCCCAGCTACTC